AAAACTGATAGTTATTGCGTATTGTTTTATTATAACATGAAAACCATCATTTGGAATAAGGTGATAAATAGATTTTAAATCTTTTAATTTTAGCTTTGAGATCCTCCTGATCTTCTCTTTTTTTTTGGAAATATTGATTTTGTCATATAAAACCATTGGTTAATTTTTTTTTCAACATTTCAACTTAAGCCAGATCCAAGTAGCATGGATACTTGTTGCAGTATAAATTTTTACGTTTAGTCAAAAGTAACGTTAACCAAGCCGCTTGGCGGTGTATAACCTTTCACAATTTCAATATATAAGGGAAAGTTGGCAGAGTTCAATATTATTTTGAATATTTTAATTCAGTTTTTTTCCGCATGTTCTAATTCTTTAAAATATTTTCAAAAGGTGGCCCTACATGGCCCCATTACGTTAATACATTTATCCCGCTTTTTTATTATAAGGGATGGTTCCCTGTTGCATAACACCATTCAATTGTACTTGTAAAAAATAAATAGTCAATAAATACAAATGTATTAATACATTTGTATAATTGTATGCCCTTAAAGCTTTAATACCCTTCCAGAGTCCCTTATTACTCATCCAGCTATTAGCCTATTTTAAAAACTCCATAACCACTTACAACATAGAATTAATAAATACAATTAATTTTGGATAAATAATTATCTTTTTGTTTGTCTATATACTTCAGGTAAACAAAATCACTCTTTCAATTTATGATATTTTTAATAATTTTTACCTCAATTGAGTTAACTAAAGTTCATTTTTTTTTATCTGTACTCCGGCAACGTTGCAAATTTAGGGGTTTGGTTGGTAAACACGGAACCAAAATTGGTTGCATTGATTAAAACAAACCTATAACCACAATCCACACAACAAGGTCTGTTCGATCTCGTACTAAAAATACTAAAAATCACTGCAACACTGCACATCATTTAATGGCGGCCATTTTTGTTGTTTGTAATTCTTGTGCTTTGAGTTTGTACAGATTAATAATCGTTTTAAACGTTGTGTTTCTTACAGAGAGACTTGCAAGCATTAAAAGAGACCTCAAAGTGGTAAGAATAATCATTTTTCTCCTCTTTTGTAAAAAATAACGCTGTGACTAGAGGCACGCTAACGTGCCGCGATTCGAAATGTTAAAGGCACGTTAGTTACGTCATAAACCCAAACCATCCCAAACTCAACAACACAACCCAACCGACCCCGCCCCATTGGGCCCCCCGCCCCATTGAGCAAAAAACCCAACTAAAATGGGCAAATTTATAAAAATAAAACACTTTTTAACAAAGGAACAACAAATTTATGTAATAAAAAAAGTTCGACAACTTCTAGTAGATTTTATGTTACGATAAAACTAAAACAAAACAACCAACCCAACCGAACACTGTTTAACAAAGAAACAACAAATTTATGAATTAAAAAAATAAAAAAAGTTCGACAACTTCTTAGTATCGAACCCGGGACCTCTCGCATGCCAAAATCAAAATCAAAATCAATATATTTCTAAATTAAATAATTACAGATCATAAAAAAGGTAAATAATAAAGACCGCAATGTGGTGATGTGGTTGGCTGTAAAGAGGCGCGTGGAAGTGTGGTTCCACCTCTTGAGCCTCCCTGCGGTGAAGATGCGTGGTACGGGTGGTAGAATCTCGCATGCCAAGCGACCGCCCTACCATATCAGCTATCTAGCTTGATGTCAAATATTAAACACTTGGGGAACAAAAACGGATTATAATTATGACGTAACTAACGTGCCTTTAATATTTTCAATCGCGGTACGTTAGCGTGCCTCTAGTCACTGTGAAAAAATAAACCTTATTCTATCAGGGCTGTCAAATGTCAATTTGAAGGTTAATTTAAGGTTATTTTATAACCCACATATTAACCTTCAAATTGACATTTGGCAGCTCTGATAGAATAAGGTTTATTTTTTACAAAAGAGGAGTAACATGATTGTTCTTAGCACTTTGAGGTCTCTTTTAAGGCTTGCAAGTCTCTCTGTAAGAAACGCAACGTTTAAAACGATTATTAATCTGTACAAACCCAAAGCACAAGAATTGTAAACAACAAAAATGGCCGCAAATGAATGATGTGCAGTGTTGCAGTGATTTTTAGTATTTTTAGTACGAGATCGAACAGACCTTGTTGTGTGGATTATGCCTATAACTATAGTTATAGGCACAATCCACAATGTGGTTATAGGTTTGTTTTAATCAATATATTGTGACAGTGTGAGAGTATTTAATTATAATTATAAGGTCAGCAGAAGTACATTTTTTTAAATACTAAAAATACCAAATCAAACTGGCATAAGCAACCAACCTAATAAAAAAACACGAGTCCAAATAAAAAAAATTAACTGTAGGTTACTACAAAATATATCCTAGAGGGACAAAATTTTTTAGCATAAAATCATATTTTTTAATCTTGTTATTTGTTTTAAAACTGCGTACTACTGAAAACAGTATGCAAATTTTATTAGGAGATGTGTAAACATCATTAAATGTTAACTACTTTTATATGAATAATAATGTGTTTACAGTAGTAAAAATGCAATGAATAAAACGAACATTTTAAGTAAATTAAAACCTATTTTTAAATTAAATTCTGTACAAAAGTATATACCTACTACATATACCTAGAGTTGGGGATGGTCAATTGACCGCAAAATATATTTAATTTTTACAGCATTTTATTTAGGTATCAACAATTACCCGTGAATCTTAAAATTTTTGCGATCGTGCAATATCGACATCATTTACAATTTGGTGGTTCCCCGAGTCGAGGGGTTGCTAGGCCGGACTCGGCGCTTTGCCCTTAAAGCGGGACATATCTTTTTTAATAGCGAAACATAACTTTTTAAAGCCGCACAAACGTTTCTAAGGATGGACATATATTTTATAATAAAAAAAAAAATTGGTAACGTATTTTAATTACCTATTTATTAAGCACAAATAAATCACAGTAATTTTTATTTTGATATTTTATTTAATTTTATTCAATTGACTGGTCAATTGACCAAAAACAATTTGACCGGTCAATTCCACAACCCTACATATACCTATACAAATAATATAATATAATAATAATAATATAATATTCGTTATAGCCAAGCGCTTGCTATATCTGGCACTTTTTAAAACTTAAATTTCAACATTTAATAATATATAATAAAACCACTAAAACCCAATAATAAAACCAACATACCTTGCCTTTGCCACTCCCAACAAATCTACCAAAACAAAAAACACTTTTGATTGATTCAACCTTAAATTTAAATTTCGCGTTATTGAGTTAAAGTAGTGCGAATAACATAACGTGCGGACTCTCACTGAATATCTAAATGACCTTCGTGGATTATAAACAGAAATGACAGAGAAACGAGATAATTTTTTTCGCACAACAAAATTATATCGAGATGAATGAGGCGCCGTTTTATTACCTCACCCTACCTTACCGTTTAAGTTTAATTATCTAAAATTCATTTTTTTTTAACAATAAGCACCCAACAGCAAACCAAAAGTGCGTTAAGCTCCATCTTTTGATCCCAAAAAGGGCACTAAAACCTTCTGAATCATACAAGAAATTGCGGTAATTTCTTGGGACATATCCTTGCACAATTGATTTTTGAAAATAACCTTTTTAAGTGCCAGTGATAAAAAGTTTGATAAATATTTGTCTAAAGCGACATCTACACGAAAATAAAGTAACCATCCCAATAAACATTTTTGACATAATTTTCACCATTAACATTGCCCGTTATTATTTTAATTCAACTTAACAATTATTGATACTTCAAAATATAAAAATAACTTCAAAATATGATTATTTTAAGAAAATATGTTATTCTTTTATTTTTTTATCACTATAATTGCAAAATATTATCACAAAGTACTAAAATTCCTACACGGGAAATGTTAAAGGTATATAAAGTGACAGTTGTATTTATTGAAATTCCCGTTAAAATTTCTAACTTAGGAATCTACTGGCGTTAAAATCTCAAATTTTTCTGTGTAAATCAAAATTTTTCCCTTGAAAATAGACTAACAATCAATATATAAGGAGTTTTTCACATTAAAAGAGGGGGGCACTGTACGCAAAATTGTTAACGCTTTATCAGTTAAATCTAGTTAACTGCACTACTGCGGCGAAATAAAAAAGTCAGTGCAAACGTTCCAATAATCTTTTCAAATATTGGCGTCAAGACTATTTAATACTTTAATATTTTTGTATTGAGATAATAAAATAATTTTCACATTTAGTATTATTTTACAAGAAAGGCACTTAATTTTAACGATATTATGATATTTGACAACTGTCAACTAACTTCAACCCGTGACTAAAAACCTGTTGCTAACTTCAGCCCGTGACTAAAGCGCCATAAAGCCACAGCTTGCCCATGTGTGTTTAAGAGGTCACTTAGTGTCATGGAAGCATGTACGATAATGGGCGTGTTAAAGGTGGGAGTAGAAAAATATTATTTATCTGTAGGGGCTCATTATAGGGCCTTTTTCTAAAAAAAGTATTTATCATTTTTAAGGACTTTGAAATAAACAAACATGCATTAGTCAATCAAAACTAATTAATAATGTGTTGTTATTGTTTACAAACTACTTAATTAAAGTGACGTAAACAAACATTTTAAAATGAAGATTTTCAATTATTAACCCAAACTTTAAAGTCTGTAATTCTAACATAATTATTTTAAAATTTTATATAAAAAAGGTAATTAATGCTCGTTCTATGAACAATTTCAAAGGTAGCTAAGTCCACGTATAATGCAGAAAAGATAGTCAAGATTTCGTGTCCAAATAAATTATTATTATATCTGGTTAAATTAAGGATAATTGCATGAAAGTCGACAATAGAACAACAACTGTATTATGCATTTTCTGAAGACAAATCCTAACAAATTATGAAATCACCCTGTTTTATAATGTTACAAACAACAATCCTAACTATCCTCTATGCATGCTGTTAAAACTCGTATTTCCTTCATTCAATGGGATGTTGCAACCATCTCTGCGTCTATAACAGCTGATTTAACAAAGTGAAAGTCATTAAAACTAAACACAGTGAAACAAAAATTTGTGTTGTAAAAATCAACATGTTGTGGGTATTTATCAGCGTTTTAGCTGCCTATTATGTTTACGAGAAAATTTATAAACCTAGTTTGTATTGGACAAAGCGAGGTGTTTTTCATTCGAAGCCATGGGTTCGTTTTTTCAAGACTTTTATACGAAGAAAAGCCATTGCTGAGACTGTGAAGGAAGCCTACGATTTATACCCAGACAGAAGGTAAGGTTTTATTTAATATATAAACACGTAATATTTATTAAGACAGGTCAAGACATCTACAAATTCAAAGGTCAAGCAGTGTAACATCAATCATCGTTCTAATCGATATAAGTTTAAAAGCATTGCTTTGCGTATTTTGGGAGCTTCCAATTCATCTACCCCTCTCCAGTCTTTCCAAACCAAACCAAAAACCTCCATCAGACATAAGGTTGAAAGTCTTCTTGCTTAACTTTAAAGGTATGGTAGTTTTTTCCACAGGAACAATTTTAAAGTTGGACAAAATGTGGTAGAACAAAACTTTAATTTCCAAAATAGCAAATCTCGACCCAATGCAATTTCTGGGTCCAGCACCGAATGGCAGATATGTGTAAGGCACAATTTTATCCTTATTCTTATCACTGAATCTCTCTGGATCGAACTTTTCCGGTTCCGGGTAGAATTTGGGGTCCCTATGGATGGCGAAAATAGGCAACGAAATCACTGTGTTTTTCTCCAGTAATACAGGTTTCTCTTCCGGGGTTTTTGGTTCGATTGTGTAAGGTTTTGTGCAGATTCTGTCAGAACCAATGGCTACTGGCCACTTTCTCAGGGTTTCTGGAAGAAAAATAAATTTTATTAGATTGGATAGGATAGGCGTTCATTAGTTTTACCTGTGACTACCATATCCATATACTTCATCTTCAACAAGCTCTCGTAAGTTAACTTTCCTTTATTTTCCTTCATCGTATGCTCGATTTCCTCCCTTAATCTGTCCTGTATCTCCTGACTTACTCCCAACTCGTAGGCCATGAAGCACATTATACTAGCAACTGTATCAAAACCGGCAAAAAAGAAAATCAAAGCTTGTGCGGTGATATCTTCGTCAGTTAAATGTTTTTGAACCTGAAATAAAACAAAGATATGTACATTTTTAATTTGGGACGTTTTAATGAAAATGCTACAAACCTTTGCTTTTCCGACTTCCGATTCTTCAACTGTAGCAAATCCTGTGTCTACTGAAGTTGTTTCATCATCTTGTTTATTGATGCTGCCTTTACGGGCTTCCATAAGCAAATTTATCATGTCATTACGAACGATGTGTTTTTCTTCACGAGTGCGAATGGTATCGGTGATGAGACCACGGAAAAACCGGCTTAATTCTTTACCGAAGAGACTTACAGAGAATATCTGCAAGTAGAGTATTTAATGTTACTTATAAATCATAATTCTATTTTTTTACCTTAAATAGCCATGGCACAATCATGTACCCAAAAAACTTCAAATTCTTGATAACTCCAGAAAAATCAGTGGCTTCTTTACCCATAAGGTAAAACTCATTGTCTCTATTTTCCAGAGAATCGACTTTAATGCCAAAAGCGGTCGTGGCAATGACATCGTTCGTGTATCTGGTAAAAGTATCCTTCATTTCGACAGTGACAATTTTTTCATTTTTGTTTTTAAAATGTTGCACAAAATCATGGGCGGCGTCTGCCATCAAGCTAAACATAAACTTCATTTTGCTACTGGTGAAAGAGGGGGATAAAGTGGCCCTCATATCCCTCCATCTTTGACCTAAAAAAATGCTAATTAATTTAGTTACATAATGGATTTGTTTTTACCTGTCAATGAAAAAAGATTCTTTCCCAGTAAAGGATCAACCTCCTCTGGTATTAAAACCCTATGATCAACAAAATGGTCGAAATCTTTGACAGTAATCTGTTTGATCAATTCAGGGTCTTTTACAAGTAAATTAGGTAGACTAAACTGGTAACACCCTGAGTACCTATAAACAAAAAATTGTAATTTGCACATAACTGCATTATGCATTGTATTTACCTGACGTTCGGCACTTGGTCATAGATATATTGTACGTAATCAGCCATACTTTGTTTCTTCCACAACATACCCCAGCTGTCTCCGAAAAGTGGGATGGGGTTTCCTTGTTTTACCCCCAATTTTGTCCAGTATTTTAAGGGTTTTACTGTAAAATAGTAGAGCAAAGCTATTGCTATTATTGCTAGGTATATCCAAAGCATTGTGGAGTAACCTAAAAAAAAATAGATAATACAAATTATTATTTTAGGAATTTAGTTTTTATTGATCAACAAAATTTCTAAATTTTGATGATACAAAATTGTAACAATCTACAGGGACCCTGTTAATTGCCGTGTGGGTAGGTCGCTAATAAACATCCTGTTTTTTTAGTATATTCAACGAAAATTAGGCAGGAATGCAATAATCTTATTACCATCATACATTATTAAAATAAAAATAAAAATAAAAAAATCAGGAGGAAGTTTAAAGTATACTAAAAACCAACAACAAAATCGACATACCTTTGCCGCTTCTAATTTTCTCTTCCTAAATTTCGCGGTATTGAGTTAAAGTAGTCCGAACAACGTAACGTGCGTTCTCTCACTGAAAATTTATATGACCTTCGTGGATTATAAACAGAATTGTCGACAGAGAGACGACATGCATTTTTGCGCAGCTAGATTCAAATCAATCACATTTTACTTGCCATCGAGTCCTCAATGGAGTCCTCTGATACGATGTTGGACTTCTTCTCGCCATGTCACTTGATGGTAGAAATATGATCAGTGTAACATTTCGCATCTGGTGGTTTTCAGAAAAAAGGCACAGCGCGTTCCCTATATTTACCCAGAGAGCCATATCAGGTCAAAACTTGGCCAAAGAATATCCCTTCCACCTTTGGAAAAGTATGTATAATATAGGACTTAATTTTTGTGCAATCGCGAAGGCCAACAATAAATAGCATAGGTTACCGTTGGTTTAATTTAATGTTTGAGCATGGAAAAACGATGACAATTTTTTTTATTTTTATTTGAGCACATATTAGGCTTTTAAAAAAATTTACCACACAGTGGTCCTGAACGAGTCATAGGTCACATAAAAATGACGCCAAAAACTGCAGTATTGGAATAAGGATGTCTTTTGAAGTTTAAAAATATGTTTTTCAAAATTGTTGCTGTTTTTGAAGTTAGGATGTGCCATGTTGTTTATCTTGCATTTATTCCAAATTTTTTATAAACTCGCGGTGGACATTCTTCCAAGTGATTAATTAGTACATGAATTTTTAAAGTTTGAGATATATCAGCAGCTTTAAACATAACTACTAATGTTTGTATGTGAATTTTTATTTAGTCCAAATTTGGCGTTTTGGTGGAAAAATAATTCTCAACTAATTTATCCATAGTCTTAAATTAGGACACCTATGGTAAAATTACCAAAGGACTAAATTTGCTAAAAGAGTGTCAGGATGTTTCAGAAGCCTTAAACAGTCATTTTCATCAAATATGTCACCTTGGTAGTTTAGGCCATCTCAACGCCTTTTCTTTTCCCGGAAGTTTCACTAGTCCGTTCCAGCCATGACCTTTGCCAGGCAAAAGTGTTGCCTGGCAAAGGTCATGGCTAATTAGATTTTTTTATTTACTCCTTGTTGGCAATTAAATGTAAGCAACTAATAGTAGTATTATTGCGTATACCTCAACTAGACATACATTACTTAGGTGCTCAACTTATTTAAGGGTCCTGCGTGCTTTTTTTAATACATAGTTTGTTTAATTGATAAACCATTTTCTGTTGTCCTTTCCTTTTTTTGTAAAATATGGTTTCGGCGATAAATGTGCAAAAACATCAAGTTTTTAATAAATAATTTTGTCGTCTTTAACTCTTTATTTTAAATTTTTTTCCTAAAGGGTTGTAAAGAATATCGCAAAAAATCTTAAATAATTCACTAAATTACAGTTGGTATTTGAATTAACTTCCAAAATTATAAAAGAGGATCACCTAGAATTTTGAAAAACATGTTTTTAAACTCTAGAGAGGGTCCTTATTCCGATAGCGTATTCAGTTTTTAGCGTCATTTTTATGTGACCTATGACTCATTTAGGACCCCTGTGACTAATGACATGATATTGACAATATAATTTCTTCAAATATTTACCAATATCATATTGGTAAATATTTGAACAAATCCAGAGTATTCTTAAATATTATAGTTATATTTTAAAGAATATTACTAAAAAAATATTTAAAAATATAAAAATTTGTTAAAAAAAAACAAAAAAAATTATAATTAAATATATTTTAAATAATATAAAGGCTTTTCTTTGATTTCTCGCACGTTGCTTGGCGTTGTTCAAGGCCACGTCTAAGGACCTCTGAAACTCTACAGCCCCAGGAGGAGGAAATCACTCGCGTTCATGTAAACTTTCTAGAAAAATACCTTTATACGTGTTATAATATTATGAGACAAATATAATTAAGATAAGGCTTTCAAGAATTATAATTATGTGCAATTAAACATTAAGAACTAAAATTGTTTGTGATTGATAACTTTATATGTTATAAAGAACTTCCAAAATAAAAAAAGAAATCAATATTAAAATTCAATGCAAAAATTACAATTACCTTGCTCACTTTAGGAACTATAGATCTTTAAACCCAATAAAACCTCTTTTTTCTCTGTGACATATAGGTAGAAAATTTATTTTTAAATTGTCCTGCTTGTAGTAAAAGCCTTGTACGCATAAACACTATATATTTACCTAGAAAAAGGCAGTTCTTTCTCTTCACTTCAACGAGATGAAAATCTGTAACAATGAACAAAAAATAAGTACCTACATAATATAGAACTACCAATGTAAATTTATATTACTTCAAATTTAACGAGGAAATAACAATCTTCGAAAAGTAAGAAATTGTATAATAATTGAATCATTTATTACAAAACTTGAAAACATAACCTTAATTACTTACTCAAAATTGAAAGCCGTTTAAAACTTATAATAACACACGTTTAGTTAGTGCACGGATGATTATATTTTTTTGTTACAAGCACTTTATTACGCCTTTTTGTAGAGTAGGTCTTATAATATTAATTTACTTCTTACGATGCTATACAACGTACATATATAACTCGCTATTGCGCATAGTAAAGTGATTCTTTTCCATGCTGATCAATTATTCGATCAACCTGCATTACAAACGAAGTTGGCCAAAAATAACTTTATTTTCATGCAGTTTTGTGCTATCGCGTTGGGAAATGATTGGCCAATAATGTCCAAATAAACCCCAATAAATGTAAAATATCGTACACCAAACTTAGTTGGGAAAAAGTTGAACAATTTCTTTTCTAAACCATGGTTCTCTGGGAGAGGAGCCTTCGTTACTTTTAAAAATAACTGTATTGAACTCTTCATAGGATGCTCTGGCCAAAAATTTAACTGTGTGTGCCTTTTTTCGGTTTGTGGGTTCAAGAAATACTTTTTACAAATTTAAGACACTTCATTTCTAAGATACAAAATTCTTATTATTATTTTAACAAAACATTGTTTTAGGTATTTTGGGAGTTTCCAATTCCTCTACCCATCACTATTCCTTCGCGACATCGACCTAATAAAGAAAGTCACAGTCAAAGATTTCGAACATTTCCCCGACCATTTGCTGGTGTTTAACAACGATAATGACCCTCTGACAAACTCGAGCCTTTTCGCTTTAAAGGGAGAAAAATGGAAGAACATGAGGGCCACTCTAAGCCCAGCATTCACAAGCAGCAAAATGAAGTCCATGTTCATCCTGATGAACGAAATAGCGGAAAATTATGTGAAGAATTTGGGAAGAAATGAGGAAAAATTAAAGGAGATTGAGATGAAAGATTTGTTTTCAAAGTACACTACCGATATTATAGCTACATGTGCTTTTGGGATTGACGTGGACTCTTTGGAAAATGACCAAAATGATTTTTTCTTCATGGGGAAAGCTATTACAAAGACCACCATTTTAGGGGCACTGAAGGCTGTGTGTATAGGTTTTTTTCCAAAAATAACTGGAGTAAGTATATTTAAATTGCTAAATTAAAGTAAATTATAAACCTTATAGTATTTTGGATTACGCGTATTCCCAAGCAAAGTAACTGACTTCTTTTCTCAAACAATGAAAGAAACAATCGCCTACAGAGAAAAACAAAACATAGTGCGTCCCGATATGGTGCATTTACTATTGGAGGCAAGAAGAGGAAATTTGAAGATCGAAGATAAGGAAAACGTCCCCGAAACTGGATTTGCCACGGTTAAAGAATCTTATGGCATCAAGAGCAGTGGAAAAATTGAAATTACAGATGATTTGATGACCGGGCAAGCGTTGATTTTTTTCTTTGCAGGGTTTGAAACGGGTTCGACCGTTATGAGCTTTTTGTCGTATGAGCTGGCGTTAAATACAGGTAAAGTTTTATTTATACTTATTACTATTAATATTATTATTATTTTAGAAATACAGTCAAAACTCCAGCAAGAAATAGATGAAGCAATGCAAAAATGCAATGACAACATAACCTACGAAGAGATATTATCCCTAAAGTACCTAGACCAAGTGATATCCGAAACCCTCAGAAAATATCCACCAGGTTTCGCACTAAACAGGCAATGCACCAAAAACTATAAAATAGAAGCAAAACTGGAACACGAAAATGACCTGATCGTAGAAAAAGGCTGTTCCATCGTGATCCCAGTCTTTGCCATACATAGGGACCCACAGTTTTTTCCCGAACCAGACAAATTTGAACCCGATAGGTTCAGTGAGGAAAATAAGGGAAATATTTTGGCAGGAACTTACATGCCTTTTGGAAGTGGACCAAGAAACTGTATAGGTAAAAAAAACTCAAGGGGGTTCTAACGAGAACTTTTAAGTTTCAAAGGTATATGTGAACTTATGTTCTTCTTAGAAGTTCTAAGTTAGAACAACCTTTTGCTGCAAATAAATAAATATCATTTAATAGTATATTCTGAAGTTGTTTCCTAAAAACATAATTTGTTTTAGCTTCCAGGTTTGCTCTCCTAGAAACCAAAGCTCTAATGGTTCAGATATTTTCAAAATTTGAAGTGTATCCCATAGAAAAAACATCAATTCCTTTAAAACTAGCCAAAACCCAAATGCTTGGCTCAGCTGATGGATTTTGGTTGGGTTTGAGAAAAAGAAATGATAAGTAAATCTTGTTGCTTGATTAGTTCGATAAATATGACATACAAAAACATTTTTGAACAAGTACTTATTTTTTCTAAAGCTTTTTCAGTTTGAAATATCAAAATATAGAAAGTAATAAAGAAAAATAATAAAAACGATCTAAATATTATTTTTAATACAATTACAATTTTTGTAGGCCAAACCAGAACCCATTTTCCGCTGTTAAACCTGCGGATCTTCTGGCAATGTTTAGCGGTATTTCTGATTTTTCCACCGGGACGATTTTAAAACTCCTCAACAAATGAAACATAGTGCATTTGACCTCCATGAGGGCGAACCTGGCGCCAATACATGCCCTGGGACCCACACCAAAAGGCATATATGCAAAGGGAGGAATATTTGCTCTATTTTCACTATTGAATCTTTCTGGGTCGAATTTTACCGGGTCTGGAAAATATTTCGGGTCCCTTTGAAGGGCGAAAATCGGTATCAAGACTGGTTGGTCCACTTTTAAATGGACAGGGGTTTCATTGGGATATTTGGGTTCAATGGTATATGGTTTTGTGCAATTACGATCTGTTGCTACGGCGTTGGGCCACTTTCGAAGACTTTCTGAAAAGGATAAATACATTTTTTACAAAATAATCACGTTTTAGAAGGACTTGTATTACCTGAGACTACCATATCCATGTATTTCATCTCCGCTAGTGCTTCATAAGTTAATTTTCCATCGCATTCTTTCAAAGTTTTCATTATTTCATCTCTAAGCTTATTTTGACAATCTTGTTGAACTGCCAACTCATAGGCAGTAAAACTCATACAGCCTGATACCGAGTCAAATCCAGCAAAGAAAAATGATACTGCCTGAGAGGTTATATCATCTATGGTGACATTTTTAAAGACTTGTCTTTCTGTATCAACCATGGTATCTTCTTTGTTGTTTTTTCTAGCTTCCATGAGAACGTGGATGATGTCGGGTCTTTTAATGTTTTTACTTTCTCTGAACTCAATGGTTTCCTTTATCAGGCCTCTAAAAAAATTTGAGATTTCCTCACTAAATATTCTGATGGATATAATCCTAAACAAAAGGAATTCTTTATATATTTTCGGAATTATCATAAAAGCAAAAGATTTAATTATTTGCCAAGCAGTAAAAGTGGTAACTTCTTTGCCCATCAAATAAAAATCGTTATTTGGGTCTTTAAGACTGTCCACTTTTAAACCAAAAGCTGTGGTGGCTATGATATCTGTGGCCAATCGCGAGAAAGTTTCTTTTAAATTTAAACTTATTAAATCTTCATTTTTATCCTCGAAATGTTGTGCAAAATTTTCTGTTGTTTCGTTGATAAGTAAGAATATTTGCTTCATTTTGCTGGAGGTAAAAGCTGGGGTCATTACTGTCCTCATATCTCTCCATTTTGGACCTTTAATTGTCCAAAGTTATAACAAAAGTGTAGCTTTGTAGTGTTTGCTTACCTGTAAGAGCGAATAAGTTGTTTCCCCATAGAGGGTCTGACTCGCTGGGAATAAAGGGTCTGTGGTCCGAAAAATGGTCAAAATCCTTTATCAGAATTTGTTTGATTAATTCTGTGTCCTTCAAAATCAAGACAGGTAAGTTACCCATGTATAAACCCAAATATCTAAAACATAGCCCCAAATCTGCCCATAAAATTCCTAAGCCTTTTAAAGTAAACTTACCTAACATTTTCCTGAGTTTTGTATATTTTTTCAATAAATTCAGCCATACTTAGACTCCCAATAATCTGTGGTAAACTGTTACCCACAATTGGTAAAGGAAACCCGCTTGCTTGTACTCCAGCATTTTTCCAGTATTGATGAGGTTTATACACATAAAAATAAAAAAATATGGCCACCAAAATAAAAACAAGTATCCAAATCATCTTATCTGGTAGTTGCAACTTCATACATTAAAATATGTACACACTGAAACAAAACATGTTTATTCCATCTCATGAGGTCATATGTGTAAAAATAATTCTATCTAAATAGGTTGGTTAATTAATCAAAGTAGGATGTGTATCTTGTAATATTATTTCTATTAATGTATAAAGCCTGATAGATAAAACTTGAATCCAATGTATTGCACAGGGTGTTCTAAAAAACCCTAGGTAGTTAAATTAAAAAATATAAATCATGTTTTAATCAATATGTACCTTAGGGTACTCTAAGTGTCAAATTCTTTCTGACGACTGTAATAACTATACTATTAGAGTTACGTGAAAGAGTGGCTGTACAAGCTAAACTATTAGTTATACAGAAAAATATTTTGTGACAAAATTGTAGGGCACAAAATTCCCTACAAAATTGTCATTTAGTTTTTTTATCTACAATCAAAAGTTTAGTCTCCTAATGCGATTTACTGGCAGTAAATTACTGCTATTTTAGAAGATTTTCGAGTAGAACGACAATTTGTGAAGAACATATTCAACATACAGACTTGCTTAAATAGACATTTTTGAAGATAATTTTATCCTGTATAAAGATTTTAGAATCGAAATTCGAAAAAAATATTCTTACTGTACGAGCGGAAGGAGAAAAGAAACATTGTAATAGCTCAACATTTTTGTTTTCTGACCGGTTACAAAATTTTTAGGTGGGAAAAAAATATTGCTTTAAAATGAAGCACCCTAATGTACCTACATAGATGAATATGAAGATAATTAATAGATTTACCTGATGTACCTATAGGTATATATTGCCAAAATTTGAGGTTTTGTATTTATTGTATTTTAATTTGTTTTTCTACTTCCATACTTAAATTCGTTAATTATACATTTCCTACCTGTACTGTAATGAGATCCAATATGATACAATTTTTTTCATTACACTGAGAAAAAACAATGGTTATCTTAATCAAATATATAGTAACTTTTACTAAATATTCTGATTAGTATAGACACAGCCATATTTACTGTTATGTTAACCATGTTTATATTGTAACAGTTTTATTGTCACTTTAACTATATTTTTGTTGTTGCACAAAACAATAATTTATTTAGTTATAATAATCATATGCAAATACCTTATAACCCTCTATATGGTTAAATATACTATACGTATGATATGTATAAACTTTCTGTATAGTAAAAACTACAACAATATATTGTTAATAATGTGTGACAACATTATATTGTTATTGTAACCAGATAATCTTATAATTTTAACCATCTAGTGTAGTACTAACTATCTATCTAACTTTACTAAATTTTTATAACAAAATGATTAGAGTACATATAACAAAACTAATTTTACGTATATTGTTATTACAACCATAAGTTATAATTAAATGGACCATATTTTGCATAACAAATCTATATTGTTAGGGATTACAATATATTTTCTTAGAGTGTACAATACAGATTTTTAACCAATAGAAATGCGATACACGGCAATATTCTGCAACCATAAAAATAATAATATTATTATTTCTATGATAGCAACTTTCGTTGTACATCGTCAAGCTAAGATGGGGAACACATATACATATATGCAATTATAGTTGCCTACCTTAAAATCTCAAGTTCAGAAGTATTTATGAAATAATTATCCTTATTGTTAATCATACATATATCTAAAATTAATACAAATATTAATTTTAAACTTACAATGGATAGCCTATAGCCCATTATAATGGATAAACCTGTAAAGCGACATTTTCTTACCAAGCAAAAATGTGTCAACCCTTATTAATTAATATTTTTCTTACCAATAAAAAATGTCACGTTACATGTTTATTAACCAAACACAATTGTTTACTTTATAAATTTGTCCATTTAATTAATTGTTAACGTATGGCATTATAGGTTATGTACGTGAATTTATTTTACAGTGACCTTTAATTTTACTTTCACCTACACTGCACTGAAAAAAAAATATTATGCATCAAATAAATTTATTTGATTCAAAACAATTTTTGTTTCATAATATATATATATAATATATATTATATAACGAAGAGAATATATTCTTTAAAATAGTAAAGTATTTTCTTAATTCACGTTGATTTACTTCAAAAATCCTTTTTTAATAGTCTAAGATCCCAAGTAAGGTCGACCTTCACCCATCTGCTTACCAGATGAAAATTATATTTTATCAAATAAAATATGTTTCTGAACATAAACCAATAGGGTTGCCATAAAAAATATGATCAAGGCTAGCTATAATAAATAAAAAATTAAAAAAATAATTTATTTTTTAAATTTCACCGACTTGCTTGCCAAGTTGCGCCGGGACATCCGAAGTGGATAGACGTGTCAAGTGGTTAAAGAGACCTCTCCTAGCAGCGTATACGAGAGAAATATAATAAAGTTCCAAAAACAAACCAAAGTATTCGGAAATATCGGTCATCGGTAATAAATAAATAAATAAATAAATAAATAAACATTCAAGTGCGGAAAGTGTGATAAGGGCAACAAGTGCAAAAAGAGTGCAACAAGTGCAAAAAAAAGTGAAACAAGTGTGAAGAGTGGGAGATCTCCCATTAAAGCCGTAAAAGAGTGCAATTGAATAAGTAATAAAGGCCAACGGTCCACCTGGTCAGAAGGGATAGTCACAACCAAAACCTATCAAGTACCTGCAGGGAGGTCCAGAAACATCGGACAGACCGTGAAAGACCGATCATCAGGATTATAGCCGAATATCCAAGCTAAGTAATTTTTCTAACTGCACACTGAGAAAACGAAATATTTAATATTAAGAAATCAAAACAGTTGCGATTTTTTTAAAATATTTGTTAACTATTAAAAAATTTCTTAATCGTGAACAAATTATATACTAATTATTAAAACATCGTCCGGTGACTGTGTTTCAGACAAATAAAGAATAAAGTTGTCTTAGAACTGTGATATATTAACAGTTAATATACCTAAATAAAACGTTTTAACATTTGTCAACATAATTTTAAATGCAATATGCGCAAGCATGTGACGTTGCCGTAGTTTTTTACAAAAGGGAATTTCGATATATTGACAGTTAATATATCTACATTTGCTAATACGTTATGAGCTTCTTTAATTCAACTTAACCAGTTCTTAGACCCAAATTAATATTTCTTTCGCCATATCCAACTCAACGATATGTTAATAGTTAACGTGCCTCGTTATTAACAAATATTTCGTTCTCTCAGTGCATGTCTAATAACAAACCATTTTATTCAAAAAAATCTAGTAAAACGTATCATATTTCGAAAAGGAATTTTAAGTTTCCCAGCTGGCACCAGAAAGTAAACATTCCTATTAGACAGACCACACAAGTCATTACATAAACAAAACAGAAAAGGCAGATAAGACTCCATCCCCCAAATAAACACTTGACTAATACCATAAATAAACGCCAAAACATAAATAATAATAAACACAAACCAAACAAACATGGAATAGTAAACACGAGCAATCATTCGGTGGGAATAATTAAAATGCCATCCGACGGAAATTGCTTAGTGGCCAGCTTGGCCCATCAACTAGATAATAGCCTGACAGGGTCAATAAATACATACGCATTAAGACAAAGACTAAATAACCACTTACGAACACACATTGAGACTTACAGCCCATACTTACAGGATGCGATCCTTGACCATCCCCACCGCAACGCGCATATTAACGACTGGGAACGCAAAACAGAGGCGTACTTAAAGGACCACGCACAAAACGGCTTCTGGCTGGGTTTAGAAACAATAATAGCAGCATCAGACATATTTAACGTCGCAATCGAAATACATCACGAACAGGGGCGTACTGACAAGATATCCTTCAGACATAACAATAGCAACCGGTCAAAAAAAAGTCGGTAGATCTTGCTACACATTCCACGACACCCTGGCCCAGACAATCCAATTCTCACAAACCGATCTCGCCAGCTGGGAACAAATCAGCTCCCACAAAAACCGTATGCGGGAGGAGACGGAAAAACTGTATCAACTTCCGGAATCCGACTCGGAGACGGACACAGAAACTGACGAACCGGAAGTAAACCAACAAAGATAGGAGTAAGAAACTAACTAACATACCCACCCCCCATTCACGAATACCAATTGAATGGGGGTACTACTAAGGCCTAGGTTGAGGAGGATTCCGGATTGTACTTAGTTTTGGGTCAGTTCAATGTCCTCCAAAAACCCTTCCTAAACTGGACGTATGGCCCGACCCGGCTGACAAAAATTCCGGGAGCTGCCTTAACCTTTGACACTGTCATCCACGAACTCCTAGGGTGGATCTACCAGCCGGCGTAAAAACTTCGGATCCAACAAACACAGGTAATGCTGTGATTTGGCGGGATACGCAGGAGAACGGAAAGGGGGTAATATAACCCCGGGTTCAGTGGATGACAATATATCTGGGGCTTGCCATACGCCCCCATACTCATACACTCACCGACTTGCTTGCCAAATGAACGAAATTCCAATGGAAAGCATAAAACATACAGAATATGTAACAGCTAGGTTGCCTACCTTTTTCTGGTCCCTATTACCTGGTTGCTTTGTACAGGGTGATCCCCTATAATGTCGCCCCCCTTTAACTTTTTTATTTTAAGTGTCCCAAAAAATTTAAAAGTGTGGTTATGTAGGAACTAAAAAATACTTTTTTTCTACGTATAAAGAAAATTGGAAAATTGATCAGTATACAGGGAAAACAAAAAGTTTATTTTTTTCAATGGATCACCCTATATATGAATTTATTTTTCGATTCCTTGTAAAATTCTAAGCATATTTCATATATCATACCATATACCTAAATTCAACCGTTTCTGAAATATTTAAATTATTTTTAAGATAATAAGTTGAAATAGTTTGTCTTTCTCTGTCTGAGTACGCCATTTTTACTTATTTAACAACACTTATTGACATAATGTCACTATAGTAATTTATTTTCGATAAAAATTT